CAAATAACTTAATCTGTCAACATAGAATTGTATCTGTCAATTAGCAAAGGAAAATACATTTAAAAAGTCATAGCTCTTATGAGACACGAGCAGAATTCTATCTGTTTACACTCAATATGAATGTGTGCTGCTGGCAGGAATTTATTTCTGAGGAAAGAAAGCAATCCTGCCTTGGAGGAGCTTGCATTCTAAAGGTGTAGCTCAGTGTGTGAGGTGTGCACCCTCCAGCGGAGAACCGGCCAAGGGATGACAGCAGGTGGCTGGAGTTGGATAGCGCCTGGAGGATGGAAATCTACCAATGAAGCCACATTCCAGGCCTAATTTAATGATTCTGAAAGCATTTGCCTATAGTAGTTTAACACAATTATAGTTACTTTGTGAATCAATACATTTAGTCTTACCTGTGACAATATATGCTGTTTTCTGTTTTCTTAGTGATTATTTACTTTTTGCAAACTAATGATATTATTTGTCTAGTGTATTTTTAAATTATTCTTCATTTACTTGTTAGCTTTAAATCATGCACATTTATTCTCTACCAAACACAGCACAGGAAGTTCCAACAAGGGTATGGTGACACACACTTATGATCCCAGCACACTGGAGACAAGGAGGTCAGGAAGTTCAAGGTCATCATGAGCTTCATAGAGAATTTGAGACCAGTTTGAACTACATGATAACCTTCTCACCAACAACAAAAAAAGAAGACCAAGAAAAATAACTCTATAAGGCAAGGTAGCACACACATCTCTCTATTCCATCACTCTCAAAAATAGGAGTGTTAATGTGTATTTATTCAATGAGTAAATAAATTAATAGACAGTGTCCTACTCAGGGGCTGAAGACAATGCTGGAGGAAGATACCAAGATTAGAAATCAAGTGCTTAAGCTATGCAAGGGAATATATATGCAGCACGTAAAAGAAAGCCCGAGTATAATAGCAGCTGTGACCTTCAAATACCTGCATGCACCTGATGTGTGGTACATACCTTTAATCCCAGCACTCAGGAAGCAGAGGTAGGCCAATCTTCCTGAGTTCCTGGCCAGGCTGCTCTATATAGCCAGTTCTAGGCCATACAGGACTACACAGTGAGACCATGTCTCAAATAAAAAAAGAAGGAGGAGAAGGAGTGGGGGCGAAAAAAGAGAAAAGAAAGCCCACCTGCATGTTTATTTTGTTCATTTGACAAAATGAAGACTGAACAGTCCTGAATGGGTCAGAACAGTGGTTTATTGTTTTTATAAGCCATAGATTCTTTCAGAAACTTACAAAAGTTATAGATTTTTTTTTCTACAAAACGATTGCACACATATATCATGAAATATTTTCTCTTAAAGATAATTTAAAAATTCACACACAAATAAAGCACCAAAATCTCCAAGTTGAACTTGAAAACATGTATCCAAAGAAAGAAAGTAAACATTTCTAGGTATGTTGAACTACAAAAGTCGAAAATCTTCACTTAAATTTTCACAACTCATTTATTTCAGGTGAGGGTGGAGTTGCTTTGGTCTAGCTTTCCTTGATAAACCAACCCTGATTGGACGGTTGCACGTCTTAAGAGGCTGTATTCTTGAAATGCCACCTGAAAACAGGACAATACAAACAGTTACAAAAGGAAGTGAAAATTACCAGTATGTTTAAAAATCTTTACTTCTAATCATAATACTAGCAACATATGCTGAGAAATTACTAAGCATCTTTATGTACCAAATACTTTGAATGCATTATTTTACTTAATCCTATATCCAGTTTTAAAATATGGAAGCCTAAGTACAAGAAAGGTTAGAAACTCGTCCTAGGATAAAGAAACTAAATAAGATCAGTATTCCAGTCAGGCAATCTGACATAAGAACAACAGTAACAAGTATGCAAAAGAAAATTCCCGCCCCCCACCACCCCCACCGCGCGCACTTTCTGTCTGTTTTTGTGGCCATCCATATTGAATTTGCCTGCGCAAAATGTGAAAAGATCTTGATGCAATCTCCTTGTTTTACAGTAACAAATTGGACAATTTGGATCTAGCACCTTGTCACCACAATTGGCTACTGCTTTTCATCCATACACCACCAGGAGTTAAGACAAACAGGACTGATGTCATCTCAAGCTCTTTTATTTTGACCATGATTTATTTAGAGTAGGGGCATTGTTTTTTAAGAAAAACAGGTCGTGTAGGTTGTATAAAAATAAAGTGCATTTAAACTCAAAAAAAAAAACTAAGTAAGATGTAAAGCCAACTTAATGTTATGTTTTATGTACATGGGTTCTGAATTAGAAGCTGAACAGCTATGCCATATTGTTAACAGCTATGTTAGTATATGTTCTAATATAATAGAGCATGGATATGTCATCTGTAATACAATAAAGGATTGTTCTGATATTTAAGTTTTAATTTAACATCAGACTATGTCACTTCAAGGAGATTCAAATGTTTCACAAAGCCATATTTGCTCCTAGATCAGATCACTTAGACAGGTAGATAGGTTGATAATGAAATTCAAAAAAAGAAAAGAGTAATTCCTGGGGCAAAACTGAAGCCGTTGGAGATAGCATTCTACTGATGATGAGAAACCAAGAAAAATGTTTGAGAAATGATGGATCACTGGTGATATTTTGGCAAATATATCTTATCTATAATGTTGTTCTTTTAGATTTAAGATTGTTATATAAATTTATGACCAGACTATGAGTTTGCCTTGTTTCCTAATTTCGATCCTATCTCTGCCCACACTCATTGGTAACAAAAGACCTGTTTTGTTTTATTCTATTATTGAAGACTTCTTGACCAAGGGTTATTGGCAATTGTCTAATTTTTCTTTGATTGTTTTCTTTACTGGCAACCAAAAATGTATAACAGTCACACTCAAAAATCATGTTAACATGCCTAAATAATAGGAAATTATTGGTGGGGTAGTTTGACACACTACGTAGCCTTGCCTGGCCTGAAACTTGTTACATAGACCAGGCTGGCCTCAAACTTGCAGGATTCTCCTGCCTCTGCCTCTCTACTACTAGTATTATATTGCTTACATTTATAAAATATCTATACAAGGAGAGCCATAAAAGTATAAGATAAGCTGGGAATGGTGGCACACAACTTTAGTCCCAGCACCTCAGAGGAAGAAGCAAACATATCTGTAACATGGAGGTCAGCCTAGTCTACATAGTAAGTTCCATGCCAGCTGTGGCTACAGTGAGACCCTGTCTCAAAAAAAGAGTAGTATAAAGCATAATTGGAAGTGGCATCTTAACACTGGAAATCCAACTTCGATGAATTATTTTTTGTTTTGTCAACTAATGCTGCACACATGATGAATCACACATTTACAGCACCTATCTCAACACACAGATTATTGTCATATATCAACGTAAATATCTGAGTGTGGTTTTGCAGATGACAACGTTCAGTATTATTCTAAGTATCATTTGCAATTTTAACCAGTTTCTAATTATTGGAATTGTATAATTCAATTATCAATATTTTAATGCATTAAATTCTGTATTTGTTTTCCAGCAACCAAAGTATTTTATCTTGTTAAAAATATAAAATATGACAACCATCTTAAAATATATTTAGAAAGTAAATAAAGATCTTACCTCCCCTTAATAGATAATTATATTTTTCTCCCTTGCATCCATCAGGAGAAAAAGCAGGCCTTTGAGGTAAAGGTTTCTTACAATCTGAAAATAAACATTAACATGTTTATTTAACTTTTGTGCAAGCTTCATTGCTTACCTGATTAAAGCGCCTGTCTAGAGAAAGTCATTTTTATAAACAAATTTTAACAATATTAACAAATTATATATACAAACATTGCCTCCAACTGGATATTGAGAGATAAAGTAGGACTTTTTAGAACTTTAAAAATTTTAATAGCTTGTTTCCTTCAACTTCAGTGTATTAACTAACATTTGAATATATCTTTGTGGGGAAATAGTCTACATTAATACTCTCTTCTGTTTTGTTTTGGCTTGGCTTGGGTTTTGGGGGTGGGGTTTTTTTTTCAAAAATTACATACTTTTTCTGCACAGGAAAATAAAAAGCAGTAAATTTTTATCATGAGAAAGGACATCTTAAATTGCTTACCTTCCTCAGGAGTAGAACAGAGCAAGTGTTCCTCTGATCTTGGACAACAATACTCATTGGGAACTTCCTGTCCTCCATTATTAGGTATTGTTTTCCACCGAAACAAACCTTGGTATATTTTATGCTTATTAGGACCTGCTTTCATATCGCAGTGCAAAAAAGATGTATACGTTTTGTTGGTTTCCACCAATTTCAACTCCTTTTCTATCTCCATTTTTGTTTCCTCTATATCATTACTTTCTCCAAAGTGATTTTCTTTCCTATTGTTCATTTCCACATTACTGGGAATTTCATTTTCCTTACTAATTTCATGAAACATACGAAGTTCTTCAAGTACTAAATCAAATTTACTCTTCATCTCGAAATCTTTAGCTATTGTCAGAGTTTCTGTTGATAAACAGTTAGCAGTTAGGCCCTGAAAACATTCATTGCTCTCTTCACTTGAGTCATTTTCAAACTGATGATTAACATATGATGTAGAGTCATTCTTTGGATGGAAATGCTTTGAATTAGCTAACTCACTATCTTGCAAAATAGTCTCAAACTCTTTTGTGTCAGCTCTATCGTCTTGATTAGCAGATTTAGTCTCTTCCACATTTACTTTTTTACTCATTACTGAAACTGACTGCATGGAACACATCCCGTACATAAGGGGAAAACTATCTTCTTCCTCTTCTATCTCAAAGTCTTTCTGAACTTGGCACCTACTTAAACTTTTAATGACTTTTAATTCCCATATTTTCCCTTCATCTAACAACTTCTCAAAATTGAGCTTCTGAATTATAGCCGTGCTATTCATCTGCTCATGGTGCATTTTGTTTGGGCTTGACAGTGTGGTCATTTCCCTAAGATTAGCAGCGTCTTCAACCATGAACTTGAAATTGAGACGACTACCCTTCTGCCTCTGTTTTCTTTCAGTATCTAAATCTTGATTGCACTTACTAATTTTATAGCATTTTCCACTACTATATCCACAGTTATTCTGTGTAAATTGAGGACCAGACTTGACCTGTGTTTTAACAGTACTAAAACTATAATGAGCCCAATTATCTACATTTAGTTGTGCAGGACAACTTGCATTCACATTACTAGATTCTCGTGTCAAAGTTATTTCTCTTATGTTATCAAAATCCATTAAAACTGGAACATTCTCATATGTTTCAAAACCTGGAAGACTTTTAGTTGTTATTAAGAAACTAATGTTTTGATTCTTAGCCCCTTCAAGAACTTGCTCAGTTTTAAATAGCTTTCTTTTCTTGGGCACATGTTTCCTATTATCTTCTAATATTCCCAAAAAAGTTAAGCTCTTTGCTACATATACAATATGGCTTTCTGTTACAATATTTTTTGAATAATTCAAATGAACTATCCACTGGAAAATGGATCCCTCTTCTGATTCCCAGCCATGCCCACTTCTTATGAATGAATCAAAGTTACTGAGCAAAGGAGCTATATTGGTTTTCGGAATTACATTTAAATATTCTAAAATCTTGTTCTGTAAACACTTGCTCAAAATGCCACTCTTTATAGTGGCATTCATATTACTGGTTTGCCTGTCACATCTCAATATTTTATAGGTTAAAATACTGTCCTTTTTATTTCCTGAAATGCTTTTTTGTATAGTATAGCATTTCAACTGTAGCAGATTGCTATTTTCTCCTTTACCATTAAACCAAACATTCCTCAAATCTGAGGGAGCATCCAAATTTCCTATCACCAGAGGCTCTGATTGCTGTTCATGTACACTCAAGACATTTGTACTGTGATAATCTCCCTTGTTTAACAGGTCTACTCTTAACAACTGTGACAAATTCAAATTTTCACCAAGTTTTTTCATATTTTCACAGATAATCTTATAATTTTTCATTATCAAACTTTTTTGTCCTTTTCTTTTCAAAGTTGACCTACGGTTATAGTCCCAGCTTTGGGAGTTTTCTGGGGTGGGAGACACATAAACCTTCAGACTCCTTTCAGCTCTCTTCAGCTTTGAATTTTCTGGTGTGATAGTGAAATTCTCTTTAGAGCCTTTTACATCACACGTCATACTACTGTAGTGATAACAGTTTAAACTGATTAAGTCCTTTTTCCCCCAAAAATTATTTTGGTTGCTGGGTGACTGGGGGTTACTTTCATCATAGTCAGAAAAAACTTTTTCCACTACAGGTTTTTTATCGTGCTGTAACTTGCGCTTCTTAGCATCAGGTCTATTTTGGGACGAGTCAATGTTTGTGAAATCCCTAACATATGCCACAAATTTGCCATTCTTTTTCTTTGCTGCCTGCTTTAAATAGACAGAGGGCATGTTGCTATGTAAGTCCGCTCGAAACTCAGGGACAGTAACTGTGATGCTGGGTCTGAAGCGGCCGGGCCTGGCGCCGCCCAAGCCAAGCGGGTTTGGGAACAGAGGTGTTCGGGGCACAGGTGAGGGAGGGTCCGCAGAGCTGTCGGCGGTCCGCGCGAGCTCAGCTCCGGGAGGCTTGTTCTTCTCCGCGGAGGTCACCACTAGCGCAGGCGGGGACCCGCAGTCTTCACGAGCACGGCCCCTCTCTCTGCGCACCGGCTCTTCACGAGGGCGGTCTGCCACATGCACGTCGGGCGTGAGGGCGTGGTGCGGGAGGCGGCCGGCCTCCGCTCCGAGCCCGCCACGCGGGCGCAGACCCGGGGCGTCGTCGTCGTCGCGCCTTCCGGGGTCACAGGCCCCGTCCCGAGCCGTCGAAGACCCGGCCCTGGCTGACGAGAACGCCGGCGCCGAGCTCTCCCACTCGCCGAAGGCCGCGCTCAGCGGAACGAGGAGGGCGGCGAAGGGTCTGGGCGACCACTCCCAGGCTTTCTCTACCTCAGACAAGCGCGGCACCAGAAGCAGCCGGTAGCCCGCCTCTGAGACGCCGCCCAGCTCCTCCAGGCGAGGCCGCTTGCCCGGGGGCGACAGGGGAGCGGAGTCCGCAGGACGCGGTTCTGAGACGGGCCCCGGGGGGCGCGTGACGGACATGACCGCGCGCCGCAGGATCTGTCAAGGTCCCAGGACCCGCTCCAGCCTCAGAAGAGGGGTCCGCCCCGCCCCGAGGCCGCCCTGGCCACGCCCCTCGACGTCCGCCCTAGACCGGGACGCAGGACTCGCCCCTCCCCCGACACACCCCCGGATCGCCCCGCCCCCTCGAAGCGCCGCCCGGCGGGGCCGGTTTGCCCTGGCGTCTTCCTCAGAGCCCAAGTGCTCAGGACCCTATGTGGTCTGATTGTAGCGACGGGTTTTCTAAAAGCACAGCGGTGGCTGTTCGGCTTGCTTTACGTCTTCCTCCTGGTAGAATTTAGTGGGAATGTTAGATCTCTCTCTGTTTTAAGTTTTGTGACTAGAAAAAGACTTTTTTAAAGAAAATTCTGTTTCCGTCAGAAACGGTTTCCCTTCGCTCTGCTCCTGTGGCTTGTCAGTACAGGGCGGCTCTGTCTGCACCGGACCGAACCTCCCTGCGTCTGGAAAAGCCTTCCAAAATGGTCCTACTGACCCAAGATTAGAGTTCCACTTCACCAAAAAATTAAAATTTGTGGAGAAGGCACTTGAGCTTAGCCATCTATTTGAGGGAAGACGTGTGGAACCTGGTACCCAGAAAATTATATTCTTCAGTTAAGACAAAAATTACACTTTTACACGTGCTGTAGGCGCTTCTTCCCAAATATTGTGGATAAGTTCATTTAAGAACTAAAAATTATATGTTTGAACTCGTGTAGTATAAGCATAAATAATCAGTTATGGCTCATATTTAATTTATAAATTTTTTTTCTTCTGCATTGAGAAACTTTATGATTTCTACTCAAGGCCTATTTTTATAAGTTTGGTGATCAAGAAGAAAATGATCTTCAAAATGTGTGATTTTTGAGCCTGTTGATTTTTTTCTCGCTCTTGAAAGGAGTACTTCTCTGTGAAAGCAGTTCTTAGAGCTTTGTTTTCAACCAGCTAAAACGTTTTAGCTATTACTATATTGTTCTCCACATTTTATTGTGTGAATTGTACTGTTTTCTGATTTGTAATTATGTCCCGAGACAGTAACTTTTTGAATAGAAATAAACCTACAAAAATGCTTATTCATGTTTATTAAGAAACAGAATTACTGTTAATATGCTGGATTTTCCTAAAAATTCATAAGCATTACGATAATGGTATCGGGAATCTTATTTCAGAATTCGTGGGAATACGTATATGACTAGTGTATTGTGCTTTCAGCAATAAGAGTCACTGATCTCAAATCTTACAAATACTTGTAACATTATTGTGATTTCAATTCTAGGCATTTGACATAAATTCTTTCAAAAAAATGTTTACTTAATCTTGTGGGCAGACTTACCTCATCAACACTATAAAAATGTGGCATTGGTGATATTTATAAATCAGCGAGTTCTCAGTATACTCCTTCCTTATGTCTGAGGTTCCATTGCCTGTTTATCCCAGATTTCCACCAATCCAAATTCCATTCCAATGCATTCCATTCTATGCTTACAATCAGCCCCATGGGGCTAGATTGTGTAACTTGCATAGAAAGAATGGGTACACTCTGCAAGATTTTTTTTAACTTGTAAATGCCCTATCTTTGTGATTTCTTGGTTGACTTTGGCATTTGGTCTTCTTTCATCTTGGTAGTTTGCCTAGGAAAACACTATTATCTTAGCTCTCCATCACACCGGTATTTAACAACTCTGCATTATTTAAGGATTGTAATTCAAATAAAACACAAATATGTTAAAACTTACTTCAACAATGAGAACTACATCCAAAACACTATTAAGTTCACAGAAATCTGTAATGTCTCTCTGTATATAGCCTGTAGAAATATACAGCATCAAAACCAAAATAGGCCTTTTTTTCTTGTGTTCACTTATTTAAAATTACTCTGCTGCCATTTAAAAATAATGCCTATCAAAGCTGCTATTTTTTCTTTTAATTTTTAAATGCTACCTTAAAAATAGACAAGTTGTAAGAACTATAAAAGACTGTACCTTCAACCTATCCTAGTCAAAATATAAATGAGACTTGTTCAATCTTGCACAGTTCTCTATATCACTTTACCTGCCTGCTCTTTGAAAGCACTTGTCTGCCTCAATGACAGTAGGCTGGGATTGAAGAGAAGCACCTGTCTACTTCCTTTAAGCCTGTTGTCTTATTACACAGTTCCAATCTGAACTGAACAAGTGAAAGAATGGTTGAATTCATGAGACAAGCCCCATAATGCAGCTTTGGCACTGACACGTGCTAAAACTGTTAGGAGTTCATTCTGTATGGTGGACTGTCAATGTCTAGTGTCAATAGCTTCATCTTGGTTCACCATACCCACACTGAAGACTTACTTTCTTCTACTTCGTGCTTCTCACTGCTGTATACAATCCCCACGGAGGATGACTTGCATCCTCATCAGCACTTGGTTATGGTTAGCATGGATTGTCAAATTGACAGGATGAGGAATCACCTAAAAGACCAGCCTCAGGACATGTGCAGGAGTGACTATCTAGATTACATTAGGGATTAGGTAGACTAGATTAATTCAGGTTAGAAGATCCACCTTAAGTGTGGGTCAAACCATCCTCTAGACTAATTAAAAAGGAGAAAGCTGAACACCAGCATTCATCTCTCTCTGCTTCCTGACTGAGGGTGCGATGTGACCAGCTGCCCCATGTTCCTGCCACTATTATTCTCCATCATGATGGACTGTATCCTGGGAAACTGTGACCCAAAATAAACCCCTCCTTACTTAGGCAGCTTTTGTCAGGTATTGGGTCACAGCGCCATGAAATGGAAGTCACAGAGTTCCTTTAGCACTTTGTTTCTAGCTATGCACTGAAAATATCTCATTGAATACTTGAATACTTACAGGTTCTCTCCATCAAACCCTGTTAATTGGGATGCAGATTTATTCATTTTATATGTCTTCAGACCTCCCACCAAGTACCTCAGTTAATGACAAAAATAAAATGGGGGTTCTATTAATATCCTTTATAATCCAAATGGATTCTGTGGTATCTTACAAGTATCTTGAGTTCCTTCTTTTTGTGCTGTTTTGCTTTGGATTGCATGTGTGTGTGTGTCTGTCTGTGTGGTGTTGTAGGAGAAAGTGAGGAGGTGCATGCATGTGAGTGTGCAGGTATGCAGACCTGTGTAGTCGAATGCAGAGGCTAGGGCAGGATGTCAAGTGTCTCCTCTATCATTCGCTCTCCACCTTACTGCCTTGAACCAAAGTCTCTCACTGAACCCAAAGCATGTCTTTTTAGCTAAGCTCTCTTGCCAGTGAACTCTCAGGATCTGCTTTGTCTCTGCCCCCTAGTGCTGGAGCTATAGGTGCCTGCAGCATTTCCTGGCTTTTTATGTGAGTGCTAGAGATTCAAACTCAGGTCCTTGTGCTTGCAGAGCAAGCACTACTCCACACTCAGCCATCTCCTTATTCCCTTGCTTCATTTTCTTCATGTTATTTATTTATTTATTTATTTATTTATTTATTTGTGTGCGTGTGTGTGTGTGCGCGCGAAGATACAGGTGCTATGGCCTGTGCGTGGAGGTCAAAGGACAATTTGAGGGAACTGGTTCTCTCCTTCCACCATGTGGGTCTGGGAAATTGAACACATGTTATCAAGCTTGGTGGCAACTGTGTTTGTTTCTGGGCCATCTCCCTAGCCCCTTGCTTTGGTTTTATATGTCAAAGGGGAGGTTTACTTTTATGAATCATCAAAGTACAATTATGAAAGCTATGCTGAGCTATACCACCTTAAGAGCCAAAAGTTGTCTTGTTTTCTTCATCATTTGAGTTCCATGGTAGAACTGGAAATGGGATGTGGACGATTTTATCTTTCACTTCCTTTAATAAATTATATAAGTAGCCAAAACATAGCTAACCTTGTAGGCATGGTGGTACATGTCTTGAATCCTAGCACTCAAGAGACAGATGTAGGCAGATCTCTGTGAGATCAAGGCTAGCTTGGTCTATGTAGCAAGTTCCAGGCCAGCTGACTACAGGGAAATTTTGTCTCAAAATAACTCAAGAAAACAATACCAACAACAAACCAAACAATGACAAAAAACAGTGAACCTAAAATGTGATTTCAGACTAAAAGATTAAGAATATATTTAAGGAACTGGAGAGATAGCTCAGAGGTTATGAGCACTGACTGCTCTTGCAGAGGACCTGGGTTTGGTTCCCAGAACCCATATGGTTGCTCATCCATAACTCCAGTTCCAGAGGCTCCCTCTTCTGACTTCTTCGGGCATTGCATGACACAGGTGCACTTACATACATTCGGGCAATACACTCATACACATAAAATAAAATAATTTTAAGACTATACTTTAAATACTTAATAAAAATTATTTAAACCCAACAGTTTAGGAGAGAAAAATATCACCAAAAATATCTAAAATAAATATGGCTCTAAATAACACAAATAGCACTTTTAGACAAGTCATTGGAAAGCACTAGGTAGGAAAATAAGAAAAGCTTGATGTTGTGTGACCCTCCATATGTAACTAGCCTTTCAGCAGAACAATACCGGTAGCACAATGCATCATTTTACTTTATTTTATTAAGAGTCTAGATCTTTTATTCCTCTCTGTGAATTAAGCCATGAACTCACAGGGAATGGGCTCCAGCAGCTCAGGCTCCTTTCCGTTAGTTCTCACAATGTTTGCTTCTCTGGGTGAAGGCTGCAGCTTCAAGTGAACCCAGGTTCCTTCCTCTTTGACTGCTTTATTTCTGGTCATTTTCCTTCACACATTTCAGGAAGCTGTTTGGGCTCATAGAGTGCTTAATATGCTAAATGCACACATTAATTCTCGTGGCAAGAATCTCACTCTTACCTTGCTTGTTTACAACAATGCCAACAGCATGCTGAGTGGCATTGTAGACACTTCTAGTTGTGCCAAGGTAACATTTATGGGGCCCTCCTTTTTTAACAGTGCCCATTCCCTTAATGTCTACAATATCACCCTTCTTATAGATTCACATATATGTGACCAAA